GCGCGTCGCGGCGCTGGCCCGAGGTGGCCGCCATGGACTTCGTCGCCAGCGACCTCGGCGACGGCGCGTCGCTGCGCGCGGCGCTGCGCGGCTGCGACCTGGCCGTGCACTGCGCGGGCCCGTTCCAGGGCAAGGTTATGCCCGAGGTCCTCGACGCGGCGCTCGCCGAGGGCGTCGCGTACGTCGACGTCTGCGACGAGACGGAGCTCTGCAAGCTCGCGAAGACCGAGGCCTGGGCGAGCCGCGCGACGGAGGTCCCGTGCGTCGTCTCGGCCGGCATCTGGCCCGGCGTGTCGGCCCTGATGGCGAAGCGCGGCGTCGCCCGGGCCGCGGACGCCGGCGCGGCGCCGCGCGCCGTCGACTACGCGTTCTACACGGCGGGCACGGGCAACGCGGGCCCGACGATCGTCAGCGCGACGTTCCTGCTGCTCGTGACGCCCGCGCTCTGCTACGAGGGCGGCGCGCTCGTCGAGCGCGACGCCTGGAGCGACGCGCGCGACATCCCCTTCCGGTCGCTCGGCGGCGCGACGCGCAAGTGCCGGCTCCTCGACTGCCCCGACGCCTACACGCTGGGCGCGTCGGTCCTCGGCGACTTCCCGGACGCGCCGCTCTCCGTGTCGTCGCGCTTCTCGACGGAGCCGGAGCTCTGGAACGGGTTGTTCGGGTTGTCGAAGCGCCTCGTGCCCGACGCGCTCCTCGCGGATCGCGACGCCATGCAGGCGCTCGCGCTCTTCTCCGAGCCCGTCGTCCGGGCCGTCGACGCGCTCGTCGGCTCGACGAACGTCATGAAGGTCGACGTCACCGACGACCGCGGCGTCGTGCGGACCCTGGAGCACGGCCACGACGACCTCGAGACGGCCGTCGGCCTCGCGACGGCGGCCTTCGGCAAGGAGCTGCTGGACGGGGCGGTGGCGCCCGGCATCTACTGGCCGTCGGACCTGCCGCCGGACGTGTCCGACCGCATCTGCGACGTCGTCCGGGAGGACGCGGGGACCTTCCTCTGGGAAGAGTAAGTTTGCGCGAGTCGCGCGTCGGCGCGGCAGGTACTTGTTTACTTGCTGCTTGCTGGGGGGAGGGGGGATGGGGAGGGTTGCGCCGGTTAGTGGGACCCTCTCTTGTGTGCTTGGAGCGCGGGCGTCGCCGTCGACCTTGGAGGCCTTCGCGAAGGTCGAACGACGAGGGACGCGCGTTCCTCAGGCCGACTCCTGGGTCTCCTTTTCGCCGAGGCCCGGCATCGACGCGCGGCGGTGCTGGCGCGTAGCAACGACGAGCTTGCGGATGAGGAAAGCGACCGCGGCGAAGACGACGACGCCCACGACGCAGACGATGATGATGATGGAGGAAGTCCCGAAATGCCCGCCGCGCCCCCCTGAACAACTGCTCGCACGACTTCCACTAGGCAGAAATGCCCACCCTTTGCCAAGATTCCAGAATACCGAGTCGAAATCAGTACCCATGTGCACGTACCCGTCGACTTCATCGTGGTTGCTTTGACCCCACATGACGACGGTACCACCATTCGTAACGGCGACGAACGCCTTTTCGTTCGTGTGTACGCTCTTGATGTTTGACGCGAGCACGCTCTTCACGTACTGCGGGTTGCCCCCATAGCGCGGGCTTCCCCAAGCGACCACTTGACCATTCTCCTTGAGCGCCGCGAACGCCCAGCCAGTCGCGTAAAGAGAAACGACGCCGCTCGTGAGATCGGCTGCCACCACGGTCGAGTCTCCACCGTAGTCGGGGAGGCCCCACGTGATTCGAATCTGCTGAGTTTTGAGTCGTTTTTGAGCATATTTCAATTTAGCCCCTTGTTACCCAGAAAATAATAATATTAAATTATCTGATGGAGTTAAAGACATACAAAAAAAACTGGCGTGCCGCTGGGCGAAGCCCGCGTTGGAGCCCTTGAGCAGACATAACCCAGCCCCTTTATGACCATCGACGTGCGCAACGCAGTTGCATTGAAACCCTCAGGAAGTCTTCTCATAGCCTCCTCCGCGCGAAGCCCGCGTTCACAAAGAGACAAACATCAAAACATACGATTATATCCTATATCAATTTCATATCTACAGAACTTCAACTTCAACTCACATTCAATTCAACATCACATCAAACGCCAAGTCAACTTCAATTTAACAAATGCGTATAACGGATTCTCAACGGACCGCGTATGATGTCATAGAAGTCGGGCGCGAGGTGAAGTTAACGGTTTTGGCAATATATAAAATTGTTATAGTCAAAATGAATATGAATGTGATAGAATTTGTGCTGTCTAACGGATTCTCAACGGACCGAGAATTGCTCGGATCGCCCACTGTTTCCGATTTTTCGGGCGACGTTCGAGGAGAGGGGGGTCGGGGACACCATGACGGGACACGGGGCGGCGCTGTAAGTATGGGGGCGATGTGAAGCGGTGCGTGCGGTGATGTCAACACGGCGCGTGAGAGCAGACTTCAACCGGCTTCACTGCGGCGTGCCGGCTTTGCCGGGACGTCGTCGGCCTCGCTCCGCGCGCCGACGTCTGAACGACAGCGAGACGCAGCCGCCTTCCTCTACAGCTGTATTCATAACACGATTTACACTTGGAGGGGCTCCGTCCGCTCGAGGAGCCAGGCGAGCGCGCGGCCCTCGAGGCGCGGCGCGAGCTTCGCGCGGACGTCCGCGTGGTAGGCGTCGATCCAGGCGACCTCGGCCGCGTCGAGCATGGCCGCGTCGACGCAGTTGAGGTCGATGGGGATCATCGTGAGCTTCTCGAACTTGAGGAAGTCCTTGCCGCCGCCGAGGTCGCCGAGCGGCACGACCTCGAGGAGGTTCTCGATGCGGACGCCGAACTCGCCGGCGACGTACTGGCCCGGCTCGTTCGAGAGCACCATGCCCGCCTTGAGGGGCTCCGTGTTGCCGAAGCGCGGGCTGATGGACACGGGCCCCTCGTGCACATTCAGCGCCGCGCCGACGCCGTGGCCCGTGCCGTGGCCGTAGTCGAGGCCCAGCGCCCACAAGGGCTTCCGCGCGAAGGCGTCGAGCACGAAGCCGACGGTCTCGTCGGGGAAGACGGCGACGTCGAGGCCGATGTTGCCCTTGAGCACGGCCGTGTAGGCGCGCTTCTCGGCCGCCGTCGGATTTCCAAAGTGCCAGGTCCGCGTCGCGTCCGTCGTGCCGTCGACGTACTGCGCGCCCGAGTCGACGAGGAGCATCGCGTCCTTCGTCACCGCGCGGCAATTGGGCCGCTCCGCGCGGTAGTGGATCACGGCCCCGTTCGGGCCCGAGCCCGCGATGGTCGGGAACGACGGCTCGAGGAAGCCGGGGTCCCGCGAGCGATACTTGAGCAGCGCCGCGTCGACGTCGACCTCGTCGACGCGGTCGCCCGCGCGGACGCGGTCCTCGAGCTCGCAGAAGGCCTCGCACGCGTAGGCGCCGTCGCGCACGTGGCAGTCGCGCATGCACGCGAGCTCCACGTCGTTCTTGACCGCCTTCAGGCGCGCCACGGGCGACGGCGCGGCGACGCGGCGGTCCTCGGGCACCGCGGCGACGACGGCCTCCGAGGACCGCGCGGGGTCGACGCAGACACTGCCCTCGTGCGCGGCGAGGTGCCCGAGCGCGGCCTCGTAGGGCGCCACGGTGACGCCGCAGGCGTCGAGGTGTTTTCGCACGTCGCCGTCGAGCTTGCGCTCGTCGACGAAGAGCGCGCAGCCGTCCTCGGTAACGAGCGCGAAGCTCAACGCCACGGGGTTGCACTCGACGTCGCCGCCGCGGACGTTCAGCAGCCACGCGACCTCGTCCAGCGCCGTCACGGCCAGCGCCGACGCGTCCAGCGCCTGAAGCGCGTCGCGGACGCGGCCGAGCTTGGACGCCGCGTCCTCGCCCGCGCGCGCGTGGACCCGCAACGGCCGCGCGGGCGCCGGCGGCCGGGCCGCGCCCCAGACGGCGTCGACGGGGTTCGACCCCTCGACGACGGCGACGGCGCCGCCCGTCGCCGCCGCCGCCTCGCGCAGCGACGCGGCGAACGCCGCGGACGTCACGGCCGCGTCGATGCCGAGCACCGCGCCCGCGCCGAGCTCCGCCGCGCCCGCGTCGCTCCCGAGCCACTCGGCGACGCCCGCGACGCCCGGCTCGCCGGCCTTCATGAGCTCCCAGCCCTCCTCGAGCTCTTTCGACGCCTGGAGCCAGTACCGCCCGTCGGTCCAGCAGTACGCGCCGCCGAGCGTGACCAGCGCCGTGCCCGCGCTCCCCGTGAAGCCCGTCGCGAAGGCGCGCCGCTCGAAGCACGGCGCGACGTACTCGCTGAGGTGCGGGTCGTCGCTCGGGATGACGAGGCCGTCCAGCGACCGCGCCCGCAGCTCCCTGCGCAGCGACTCGAGCGTCGACGACGACCCGCCGCGGAGGCCTACGGAGCGCTGGTGCTTGGCGGACCGCGCGGCCGACGCGAAGCCCGCCGCGAGGCGCGAGCCGCCCATGAGGACGAGCAGCCGGTGCTGCATCGGACGGCGGCGCGAGACGCACTCTCGTCCCGACCTCTGCTTTGGGGCAAACACCTAAAGTTGAATATTCAACCAAAATGAGCACCAAACCCTTCAAAACCTGAGCCACGAAAGCTGGTGGGCAGGAGCCCGGCGCCGCGAGGAGGGCGTGGAACGGCCGGGCGCGCTTGTGTTGGCCCGCGGACGCGCGTCGCCGTGGCCAGTTTCGCGCGCCGCCGCCGCACGCGACACCGCGAAACCTAGGCCGGGGCAGCCCTTGCCAGCATGGCGCAGCCCGGGGAGCGGGTGTGGATCCGGCACGCCGAGGAGGTCTGGGAGCCGGCCGTCGTCGACTCGCGGCAGAACGACGGGGCCGCCGTCTTCCTCGGCGTGCGCACGGAGGAAGGGGAGCACCGGGAGCTCGAGTTCGCGAGCGACGAGGCGTTGACCGCGGACGTGAAGATGCGGAACGAGAGCGGCGACCAGCGCATCGAGGACCTGATCCTGCTGCCCTTCCTCCACGAGCCGGCGATCCTCCACGTGCTCCAGGAGCGCGCGAAGAAGGGCTTCATCTACACGAACGTCGGCGCGATCCTCCTGGCCGTGAACCCGTTCAAGCGGCTGCCCGAGCTCTACAGCGACGCGACCATCGCGTCGCACCGGCGCGTCGGCGCGGCCCGCGACGCGAACCCCGAGGACGCCGCCGCGCCGCCGCCCCACGCCTTCGCCGTCGCGGACCAGGCCTACCGGTCCATGCGGCGCGCGCTCCTCGAGGGCGCGTCCGCGGCCGCGGACGAGACGCCCGTGGCCGACCAGGCCGTGCTCATCTCCGGCGAGTCCGGCGCGGGCAAGACGGAGACGACGAAATTCGTCATGCGCTACCTCGCGGGCCTGTCCGTCGTCATGAGCTCGGGCGACGGCGGCGACGCGGCGCCGACGATGGGCATCGAGTCGCAGGTGCTCCAGACGAACCCCATCCTCGAGGGCTTCGGCAACGCGCGGACGCTGCGCAACGACAACTCGAGCCGCTTCGGCAAGTGGATCTCCCTCGAGTTCGACGGCCGGGGCCGGCTGAGCACCGCGCACATCCGGACCTATCTGCTGGAGAAGGTGCGCCTCGTGCGGCAGACGGAGGGCGAGCGCGGCTTCCACGTCTTCTACGAGTGCATCGCCTACCGCGACGGCGGCGCGCAGCCCTGGTGCGCCACCTGGCCCGACGGGTCGCCGGCGCTCGGCGACGCTTTGGGCGGCGACTCGGTCTGCGTCAACGGGTCGACGTGCGGCGTCGACGGCCGCCACGACGGCGTCCTCGACGTCGAGTCGCTCGAGGAGCGCCTCGAGGCGCTCAAGGCCTTTGGCGTCGTCGGGTCGCTGTCCACGTCGGTCTTCGAGACGCTCGCCGCCGTGCTGCATCTCGGCGCGGTCCAGTTCGAGGCGACGCGGCACGCGACGGAGGACGCGGGCTCGCGCGCGTCGCCGGCGACGGGCGGCCGCCTCGCGGCCGTGGGCGCGGCTCTAGGGGTGGACGTGGGGCATCTGGAAACGGCGCTGACGTCGCGCAAGGTCTTCGCGGAGGGCGACTATTTGGATTTACGGCTGAGCCACGAGGCCGCGGCCCGCGCGCGCGACGCGCTGCTCAAGGCCTTGTACAGCGCGCTCTTCGACGACCTCGTGGACCGCTGCAACGTCGCCCTCGAGGCGTCGGGCGACGCGCCGAAAAACGGCAAGGCGAAAGGCGCGTCCATCGGCTTGTTGGACATCTTCGGCTTCGAGGTCTTCGCAGTCAACTCCTTCGAGCAGCTGCTCATCAACTACACGAACGAGCGGCTCCAGCAGCACTTCAACGACTTTGTCTTCGAGACGGAGCAGCGCGAGTACAAGGCCGAGGGCCTCTACTGGGACGCGGTGGACTTCCCGAACAACGACGACGTCTTGGCGCTCATCGAGGGCCGCCAGCAGTCCGGCCGGGGCGCGTCGCTGCCGCCGGCGGGCGCGGGCAAGCCCCAGCGGCGCGCGTCGGCGCTGCCGTCGAACGCGCAGCAGGCGTCCATCGGCCTCTTGGCGACCATCGACGACGAGTGCCTGCTCGTCGCGTCGCGCGCGGACGGCGCGACGTCCGCCGCGGTCACGGACGACGGCGACGACGCGTCGGCGCGGTCTCTAGCGCAGCGGCTCCGCGCGGCCTTCTCCGAGGCGCCGCGCTATTCCTGCGACGCGCGCCAGGAGCGGTCCGCGAAGTTCGCCGTGTCCCACTACGCGGGGCCCGTCGAGTACAGGGCAGGAAAAGGGTGATTCAACGTCGCTTCAACGTGAGTGTTCCGCGCGCGCACGTTTCGGAAAAAGCACCCACGCTTCGAGAGCGCTCCGAGAGATGATCGCTCGTCCAAAAATCAGCCGAAACGAGCGGAAAACGACCGAGATCGGAGCCTTTGAAGTTGGGAATTTCGCACCCTTTTCCTGCCCAGGTCGAGTACTCCGTCCAGGGCTTCATCGCCAAGAACATGGACGCCCTGTCGCCCGACTGCGCCAAGGTTTTAGCGGAGTCGACCAAGGCGTTCGTCGTGGCCCTCGAGGAGCGGCGCAAGGCGTCGGCGGGCGCGCTCGGCGCGGCGACGCCCAAGGGCGCGGCCGCGCGGACCTGGGGCGGCGGCGCCAAGAAGAGCGGGCGGAGCCCCGTGCCCGGCGGCGGCGGCGGCCGCCGCGCGTCGTCGCTGGCGACGACGACGCTCGCGCAGCGCTTCCGGGGCAGCCTGGGGAGCCTGCTCTTCGAGATCCGCGCGACGCGGCCGCACTTCATCCGCTGCCTCAAGCCCAACGACCGCAACCTGCCGGACCTCATCTCGGCCCAGCGGCTCGTGGAGCAGCTTCGGTATTGTGGAGTTTTAGAGGCCGTCCGCGTCGCGCGCGCGGGCTACCCCGTGCGCCTGCCGCACGCGGACTTTGCGCGGCGCTACCGCGCGGCGGCCGCGCGGAGCCAGCCCGCCTTCTTCTTCGAAAAGCCCGCGGTCGCCGAGGCGGCGTCGGCCTTCGGGAGCGCGCTGTCCGGCGGCATGTCGAAGATGTTCGGCCGGGTCGCGGAGGCGGCCGACGCCGCGGACGACGACCCGAAGGCGCGCGCGAAAAACGCGGCCGTCGCGCTGGTCGGCGCGCTCGCGCCCGAGGCCGCGCTGCTGCGCGAGGGCGACACGGTGACGCCGCGCGTGGGCCGCCGCCAGTCCATGTCCCTCGACGACGCGGCGACGCGCGAGGCGCGGAAGCGCGGCGTCGCCATCGGCCGGACCAAGGTCTTCCTCCGCAAGGGCGCCTTCGAGGCGCTCGAGGTCCTGCTCTCGCGGCGGCTCACGGCGTCGGCGCTCGCCGTGCAGCGCGCCGCGCGGCGCATGACGGCCATGAAGCGCTTCGCGAAGCAGCGCGTGGTCGCGACGGTGCTCCAGGCCGTCGTGCGGCTCCGCATCTTCAGGCGGCGCAAGGCCGCGACGCGCGTGTCGTCGCTCTTCAAGGCGCGCGGCGCGCGGGTGCGGTTCCGGGCCGTCGCGCGCTTCGCGCGGTGCATGCAGCGCGCGCAGCGGGGCACCGCCGCGCGGAAGAAGCTCGGCTGGCTGAGGGAGGTCAAGGCCGCGCGGAAGCTCCAGCGCCTCGCGCGCGGCGGCGAGGCGCGCGGCGCGTTCCACCGCCTCCGGTCCGGCGTGACGACGCTCCAGCTCTTCCTCCGCGTCATGCTCGCGCGCGAGGCGAAGCGCCACGAGTACCGGCTCCGGCGCGACGCGTCCCTCGTGCTCGGCGACCTGCGCAAGGCCCAGGACTCCATGGCGGCCATGGAGGCGAAGACGTCCGCGCTCCAGGCCGACGCGCGCGCGTCGCTCGAGTCCACGTCCGCGGACCGGCGCGCGCTCGACAAGCAGCGGAAGAGGGTCGAGGCGGAGCTCCGGGTCCAGGCCGAGGCGCGCGCGGCGCACCGCGCGGAGATCGAGGCCATGAGCCGCGAGCGCGACGCCGCCGTCGCGAATTTAGCCGCCGTGCGCAAGCGCCTCGAGGCGGAGCGCGACGCCGCGCGGCACGAGCGCGACGCGGCGCTGACGGCGCTGTCCGCGGCCATCGCCGCGTCCGGCGACGAGCGCGACGCCGCCGAGGCGGCCGCGCGGTCGTCGCTCGAGCGCGCGCGCGCGGACCGCGAGCGCCACCAGCAGGAGCTCGAGCGCCTCGGCTCCGCGGAGGCGGAGTCGCGCGCGCGGGCCGACGAGGCGCGCGAGCTCGCCGACGGCGCCCTCGCCGCCGCCGCAGACGCGGACCGCCGCGCGTCGAGCTCCGCGGACGCGCGCCGTGCGCTCGAGGCGGAGTCGCGCGACGCGCGCGGCGCGCACGCGGCGGCGGCGGACCGCGCGCGCGACGCGGAGGACCGCGCGCGCGCGGCCGACGCGCGCCTCGCCGACGCCGTCGAGCAGCAGCGGTCCCAGCCCCCCGCGGCGGACGGCTTCTCCGAGGACGGCGACGCGCGCGCGGACGCGCTCCGGGGCGACGTCGTCGACGCGCGGCGGCGCGCCGAGGCCGCGGCAAACGAGGCCGCGGCGGCGCGGTCCGAGCGCGACGCGCTCCTGCTGCGGGCGACGGAGGCGCGGAAGCTCGCGGACGAGTCGCGGCGCATCGCCGACGAGGGCCCGCCGCCGCCGCGGCCCAAGGCGCGCGCCGCGGCCGGCGCGGCCGCGCCGCCGCCGCCGCCCGGCGGCGGCGCCGAGGGCGACGAGGCACCGGACGCCGACCTCTTCGACGACGACGAGTCGCCGGAGAAGACGGAGGCGTCGCCGTCGACGAAGCGGTACCAGCGCAAGGTCGCGCGGCTCCGCTACGAGATCGCCGCGCTCCGGCGCCTCATCTGCGGCGGCTGGATGGCCCAGTGGCGCATGCTCTGCGAGCTCGGCGAGGACCCCGTGCCCACGGTGCCGCGGGAGTACGGCGACCCGGACCCCGGCCTCGAGGACGAGGCCATCGAGCACCCGCGGCGCGGCGACGACGACCACGTCGCCGTCAGCGCCGGCGGCGGGCCCAGCGCGACGAGCCTGGGCGAGTCCATGGGCCTGGGGTCGAATGACTACGCCCAGGCCTGCGACGCGGCCGACGCGCGCGGCGACGGCGGCGGTGACTTCCCCGCGCTCCGCCGGGGGAGCTTCGGCCCCCGCGTGGACCCGGCGGCGCTCGCGGGCCGCTTCGCGGCGGACATCGCCGCCCTCGACGCGGCGACGGCCCAGCTCGCCGGCGTGCGCCTCGGCGCGGACGGCCGCGCGGCCGACGACGGCGAAGGAGCGCGCGCGTCGCCGGACGTCGCGGCCGCCGTCGCGCGGACCGCGGGCGCGGAGCACGCCGGCGGCGACCGGCCCGCGGCCGCGCCCTACGCCGCGGCCCTCGCGGAGACGCTCCTGAAGATGGAGCGCGCGTCGGGCTGCCTCCGCGCGCTCGCGGCGATCGACGTCGCGCCCTTCACGCCCGTGCAGCTCCGGGAGCAGCTCGACGCGGCCTACGCGCGCCTCGAGGACATGCAGCGCCGCGTCGACGTCGGCGAGCCCCGGACGGCCCGCCGCACGCCCTCGCGGAACACGCGCAACGCCCCGGGCAACAACTCCGCCTGGCTCGGCATCATGTCCTGCGGCTTCTACCGCGACGACATGTCCGACAACGAGGCCTGAGCCCGGCGACGACGACCCCGCGCACCTCCCCCCCCCCCCCATTTTCACATCCCGACGATCCCCCCCCTCTTTTACCTGCACCTTTCGTCGTTGACGTTGGTAAGATCACGAAGATTGCAGTTACTTGTGCGTGGGCCCCTCCGTCACGCGTGACTGCTGGGGCTGCGCATGGGATCTCCTCCGAAACCCCCGCCCGCGCCGCCCGCGCCGAGGAGCGATGGCGGCTGGCGCGGCGCGGCGCCCGCGGACGTCGTCGCCGGCATCGACGGCGCGAAGCGCTCCGGCCACCTGCACCGCGCGTCGTCGGTCGCGGCCGGCGCCGAGGACTCCTACGGCGCCATCTTCGCCGGGGGCCGGCGGTCCATCAACACGGTGAGCGCCATGGCGACGCTCGGCATGAAGCAGAAGCGCTACGTCAGGGAGCTGCCCAACGTGCCCGAGGACGAGCTGGACGCGTTCATGGAGAACCACCTCACGGAGGTCGGGAGAGCGCTCTGCGCGATCATGCTCGAGAACGGCGGCTTCCAGGTGAAGATGGGCCAGATGATGTGCACCATGGGCGCGTGCCCGTCCTACATCAAGAGGGAGATGCAGCCCTGCCTCACGTCGACGCGGGCCGCGCCGTTCGACGAGGTCCGCCGCGTCGTCGTCGAGCGTTTGGGCGTCGCGCGGCTCTCGGAGGTCTTCGCCTGGGTCGAGATGGCGCCCCTCGCGTCGGCGTCCGTCGCCCAGGTCCACCGGGCGACGCTCAAGGACGGCGCCGACGTCGTCGTCAAGGTCCAGCACGAGGGCGTCGCGGACGGCGTCCCGCGGCCGCGACGACTTTCGAGAGATGTGGGGTGGGAAACCAATGAGGACATCGTCACCGTCATGCTCGGTAGGTCGCGGAGAAGATGCGCGCGGACGTCGCGTTCCTGCCCGTGCTCGCGTCGCTCCTGAACTACGTGACGCCGGACCACGGCCTCGACTCCTACGGGACGCTGATCTCCGACATGCTCGCCCAGGAGGTCGACTTCCGCATCGAGGGCCACAACGGCGAGCGCTTCGCGGCGATCGTCGGCCGCAGCGGCCGGTCCGCGCGGTCGCGCTTCGCCGACGTGAGCGTGCCCCGCGTGTTCTGGCCCTACGCGCGCGAGGGCGTCATCGTCCAGGAGTTCGTCGACGACGCGACGTCCCTCGAGGTCATGATCCGCGAGAGCGGCGTCAGCGGCGGCGTGAAGCTCGACGACGAGGACGGCGCGGACGCGGACGCGGACCTGGACGCGCACAAGGCCGCGGCGCCGGAGACGTCGCTCGTCGAGTTCCTCGAGGACCTGGCCGCGGCGCTCTGGTCCCGGGGCGGCGGCGAGCCCGCCGCGGCCGCGGCGGTGCCGTTCGGCCTCGTGCTCGACGAGCTCGTCGCCGTCTTCGCGGAGTGCGTCTTCGTCCACGGCTACACGCACAACGACCTGCACCCGGGCAACGTGCTCGTGCGCGCCGAGTCGAGCCAAAACCCGCCGAGCGCCGACGGGAACATGAAGCGCGTGCTGCGGAAGCACGCGCCCGTCGCCGTCCGGACGGTCCTCCGCGCGGCCTACGGCGCCGCGGGGCTTTTGCTGCTGGGACTCGTCGTCTTCCTCGCGCTCCATCCGCTGCTGGGCGTCGCGCTCGCCACGGGTGTCTACTACCGATTCGCGGACAGGATCGCGGAGGTCCGCGCGGCGCTCGCCGACGACCCGACGCCCGAGGACCCGGGCCTCGCGGAGGACTCCAAGGAGGGCGACGGCGACGCGCCGCCGCCGACGCGCCTGGCCAGGCTCCGGGAGACGGCCTTCGGCACGCTCGCGCCCCTGGCGCTGCGGGCCAAGGGCCTCCACGCGGACGCGAAGGCGCGGCTCGACCGCGAGGCCGCGACGCTCGCGGGCACGCGCTTCGAGCTCGTGGTCATCGACCACGGCTTCCACACGGACGTGCCCGAGCACATCCGCCTCATCTTCTGCAAGCTCTGGAAGGCCATCGCCTTCGTCGACGTGCCGCTCCTCTTCGAGACGGGCCGCGAGCTCGGCCTCGGCGACGACGACGTCAAGGTCCTCACGCAGTCCATCGCCCTCTTCCCCTACGAGTTCTGGGTCCAGGGCAAGATCCCCGGGCCCTTCGAGACGCGCGAGGCCATGCACAACCAGAAGAAGTCGAACGCGTCCGTCAACGCGAAGCTGCCCAAGGCGCTCCACGTGCTCAGCCGCGCGAACCTCCAGATCTTCGGCTACTTCTGCCAGCAGTACGGCTTCGTGCCCCAGACCCGCCTCTTCTGGACCGCGGCCATGGCCAAGCACGCCCTCATGGGCCTCGCCTTCGCCCGCGACTGCAAACTGCCCGACGTCGACGACCTCGAGACGGCGACGAAGGACTTCTTCGACCGCGAGGAGCCCAAGGCCGCGGCCTACGTCGCGGCGCACATGAAGTTCGACTACCCCAAGTTCCAGGTCAAGCGCCTCTCGCCGGACCGCTTCTTCAAGGAGACGCAGAAGATCGTCGCCAAGGGCGGCGACGTCAAGTCCTGGAAGATGGGCGACGTCAAGTAGGCGCCCCCGCGCTGCTCTTTTATCTCTCTTATGTGTGCTCCTCCAGCGCCGCGAAGGCGGCGGCGACGGCGCCGGGGTCGTTCATGAGGTCCCCGTGGGCGACGCCGGCCACGTCGACGCGCGTCGTCGCCGCGACGTCCGCCCACCGGTCCAGCGTCGCGGGCGGCCAGAGCGCGTCCGCGTCGCTCCCGATGGCCGTGATCGGCACGTCCAACGGTGCGGGCGGCGCCAGCAGGGGCATCGCGGCCGTCGCCGCGTCGCCGACGGAGCCCCAGGTCAGCGGCGTGCCCGCGTCGTCGCCGCCGCCGGGCTGGACGCCGAGGAGCACGCCCATGCGGAAGAGCCGCGCCGCACGCGGCCGGATCCGCGCCGGCAGCCGGTCCGTCTCGAAGGCCATGCGGTCGCGCATCCATCCCAGCACGAACTCGTCGTCGTTCGAGGCCACGGCGGCGTAGTGCCGCCGCGCCGCCGGGCAGCAGTGCGGCGCGCCCCGGCCGCAGGCGACGAGGCGCCGCGGGAGCGGCCGGCCGCGCGCCTTTAGCACGAGCGCGACCTCGTAGAGGACGATCGCGCCGAGGCTGAAGCCGTAGAACGCGTAGGGCTCGTCCAGGAAGGGCGCGAGGTCGTCGGCGATCTCCTCGGCGAGCGCGCGGCGCCGCGCGGCGCCCGCCTCGAGCGCGTCGCCCTCCGCCGCCGCGTGCCGCAGCGCGTAGGCCGGCGGGTCCTCCTTGGACCGGCCGCCGTGCCAGGGCAGCTCGAGGAACCGCGGCTCGCACCAGTCCGGCGCGACGGGCAGCCACCGCTTCTTGAGCGCGTTGCTATTGTCGGCGATGCCGTAGAGCGCGAAGAGGCGGATGCTGGCGTCGCTCCTGGCCGGCGCCGCCGTCTCGCCGGGGAGGAGCGCTGTCGAAGGCGCGAGCGCGAGTGCGTGCGACGCGAGGAGGCACATGCGGAGCGTTGTGCGAGACCTCATCGTTGCCGTTTACGGTCCTCTGGCAAGCGAGCTAGCATGCGCTTGGTATAGTGCCCATTGGATCACTGTGGCAAAAATCAACTTGGATCAATCAACAGGGGTTCAAGCTAGAACGTAATTACCAATGTTGCTGGGCACCCGGCCGATGTTACTGGGCAGCAAAGTTACGCAAGCTGTATCCTAACATTTGGGCTGCCCCCACCACCAGCAGTGGTCCAGCCTCGACGCGGCCGGCGCGCGGGCTGCCTGAGCGACGGCGACTCCGTCTCCGCTCCACGGGGAGACCGCGGCCCCCGACGCGTCCGAGGGGCCGCGGATGGGCGTGGGCGACGCGGGGGACGGCCAGCAAGTACTTCCCTCGCAAGCGCACGAGAGCATGGCCGAGGGGGCGCCGCGGAAGACGTCCTACTCGCGGCACGTGCTGTCCCCGGAGAAGGAGGCCGAGGCGCTCGCCTGGGTCCACTCCTGGCGCCACCGCTTCATCGTGTCGACGGTCATCGCGGGCTTCACGGCCGGGTTCCTCGTGCTCTTCACGTCCATGGGCGTCGGCGTCTGGTACACGATCAAGACGCACCACCTGTCGTGGTACTCCTGGGCGTTGGGCTGCGTGGCCATGCTCCTCTTCTTCCTCCTCGCGCTCTTCGACAGCGGCGAGTGGACGGGCTGCGCGGGGACCGTGCGCGACGCGTTCGCGGCGCTCGGCGCGCTCTGCCTCTGCGCCTACGGCCTCATGAGCGTCGACTCCTACCCCTACGGCCCCCTCTGCTTCTTCCTCGTCGGCGTCTGGGCCGCGCTCGCGGGCACGCACTCGCTGTTGAGCAGCCTGCCGTGTACCCCCGACGCGGTGCCCTTCGACGTCTTCGTCATGACGCTGACGAAGCCCTTCTACTTCTTCGCCGTCGTCGTGGGCGGGCTGTGGTTCTACTGGGCGTCCCTCGACGTCAACGCCTGGGCGCCCTACCGGAAGCGCGTGGGCCAGCGCCTGTCGAACAACGACCTCACGTGCCGCGAGAAGCACGAGAAGAACTGGATGGACGACGAGGACATCAAGGCGCTCAAGGAGTACGAGACCTGCGAGGAGATCTTCCTCTTGTGGGTGAGCCCCTTCGTGGCGGGCATGTGCCTGGGGGTCTTCGGGTTTTTGTGCCACGCGCTCAAGCACGCGGACACGTCGGGCAAGAAGATGGTCTGCGTGCTCGGCACGCTCGCCGCGGGCGCGTGGTGCGCGGCGTCGCTGGCCGGCGCGGGCCACGGCGTCACGACGGCCATCTTCATGTTCCTCGTCGCCGGCGTGCTGGCCCTCGTCTTCGCCGCGCTCTACTCGTACGGCGTCGCGGGCATCACGCAGCTGCTCTACGCGCCCGACGGCGCCGCGCAGGCGGCCTTCGCCAAGTTCGTCACGCCATACATGGACATCTGGAAGGGCTTCCTGACCGTGAGCGCCTGGCCCTTCTTCCTCCTCTACCTGGGCTTCGCGGGCCTCCAGCAGCTCGCGCGGACGTTGAGGGGCGCGGCGCGGAAGAAAAGGCCCGCGTCCTACGCGCCCCGGGGGCCCATCGAGGGCTGCCTGGGCTGCTGCGTCACGGACGAGGCGCGGTCCCACCTCCACACGCTGGCGAACTGGAACTGGACGCCCGTCTTCGACTGGGCCGTGCTCTGGGGCGTCGGCCTCGTCGCGCTGACGGTGATCATCTCCAAGTTCACGGTGCTGGCCATGTCCGTCGTCGTCTCCGCCTTTGGCGACTCGTCCGTGCTCGTCGCGACGCTCGTGCTCACGGCCGTGGGCCTCTTCCTCTTCATCCTGCCGCCCGTGCCCGGCGCGCCCATCTATTTGGCCGCGGGGTTCATGCTCCTCGCCGTCGCGAAGAAGAACGGCTGGACCGTGCTGCCGGCCATCTGCTACACCTGCGTCGTGTCGTTGATCATCAAGCTCATCGCCTGCACGCTCCAGCAGAAGATGATCGGCGAGAATTTGGCGGGGAACCTGTGGATCCCCGGGCAGCACAAGAGAGCGAAATTCCCAACTTCAAAGGCTCCGATCTCGGCCATGTTCCACTCGTTTCGGCTGATCTTTTGGACGAGCGATCATCCCTCGGAACGGTCTCGAAGCGTGGATGTGTTTCTCGTGACGCGCGCGCGCGGAAGACTCACGTTGAAGCGACGTTGAATCACTCTCGTGCTGCCCAGGTGGATCCGGAAGACGTGCGGCGTCAACAGCGAGATCGTGCGCATGACGCGGTTGATACTGATGGAGCCGGGGCTGTCCATCGCCAAGGTGACGATCCTCGTGGGCGGGCCGGACTGGCCCACGTCCGTGCTCTGCGGCATCCTCAAGGTCGACCTGCTGCAGGTCATGATCGGCACGTCGCCGATCATGGCGCTCATCATCCCGACGGTCATGGCGGGCGCGTTCCTCTCCATCGACGAGTCCTACGCGGAGGTGCTTAGTGTGATCTTCGCGTCGGCGGCGGCGACGGTCCAGTCCGGGGCCATCGTCGTCGCGGCCATCTACCTCGACCGCGAGATGGAGCGGCGCAAGGACGAGCTCGCGGCCGTGCCGTACGACGAGGAGGTCCGCGCGTCGGAGAAGCAGGACCGGCGCGACGCGCGCAAGCTCAAGCGGCTGACGCACTGGAGCCACGTGCCCGAGGGCTGGGCCGCGCTGCAGATCTTCGGGCTGGTCTGCATGACCGCGTCGTGCTACCTGTGCACGTACTGGGGCGCGAACTGCTTCCGCGAGTTCAACATCGACGACTCCGTGTCGAAGCGCCTCGACGGGAAGATGGGGTCCATCGTCCGCCCGGCGGGCTACGTGGCCATGCTCCTCTTCGCCGTGTCCTGCGTCATCCTCTACCTCTTCAAGTCGTGCTGGGCGTCGAAGCAGATGCTCACCGAGGACGGGCCGAACGCGCTCGACGACAGCGACGACGAGCTCGAGGAGGGCCGGCCGTCGGACCCGACCGACGAGAAGCACCGCAACCCCAACTTCAAGCGCCTCGACATCGCCAACAGCGTCAAGGCCATCGCGGGCTACCAGACGTCGCCCAAGGCCGGCGCCGTCGAGCTCTCGGAGCACAAGGAGGGGGGCGCCGACGACCTGCCGCGCCTCGACGACATCGACGACGACGACGCCTACAACGCGCCCCAGCGCGCGACGCCCCGCAAGTCCGTCCTCGTCGACGCCGCGCACCTCGAGCGCTCCGCGTCCGAGCTCAAGTCCGCGAAGAAGGAGGCCAAGGCCGCCAAGGAGAAGCTCGCGCTCGAGAAGGAGCGGGCCGAGAAGGAGAAGCTCCGGTCCAAGCGCCTCGAGGCCGAGGTCGCCGCGCTCCGCCGCGCGTCCATGGGCGTCGCGCCGCCCGCGAGCGTCACCGACGCGTCCCTGCCGACGCAGAGCCACTCCCCGCCGGACTCGCCCAAGGCCGCCGACGAGGGCAAGGACCCGGAGACCTTCGTCTGAGCCGCCGCGCGCGCCCGGGCGGGCCGTCGCGCCGCGCGGTCGGACATCTAGGGTCGGAAAAGCTACGAGGTCAAAAATCTAGGCGACGCGCGCGAGCTACGGCGCGGGCGTGGAGACGAAGAGCGCGTCGGCGCGGTACGTCGGCGCCGTCGCGCCGGGCAGCGGGACGTCGCATTTGAGGAGGACCTGGGCCGCGAGGCCGTCGGCGACGGCGCCGAGCTGGCGCCAGAGCTTCTTCGGCGGCGGCGGGTCGAGCGCGCCGGGCAGGCCGAGGGGCCCGGACGCGAGCGCCCGCTCGACGCCGCCGGCGAAGGAGACGCGCAGCACGAGGCCGTCGTCGCCCGCGCACTTGACGGGCCCGTCGAGGGTCCACTTGCGGCGGAGGAACGTCGCGCCGTCGTCCGCCGCGACGACCTTGGCGTCGCCGGGCGACGGCGTCGCGGCGACGGACGGCCGCGCGGGCGACGCGCCGCGCGCGTCCTCGAGGTGGAGCGCCACGGGCGGCGTCGTCGGCACGGCCACGTTCGCCGCGCGCGCGTCGTTCTCGCCGTCGGGCGCGGCCTGCTTGCCGTCGAGGTCCTTCATGAGCTTGTCGAGGTCGAGCGCGCCGACGGAATTCGCGACGCTCGCCGCGGCGTCGTCGTCGAGGCCCAGCGCCGCGTCGCCCGCGTAGACCTCGACGAGCTGCTTGAGGTCGTCGGACGCGACGTCCGCGGACGCCCAGATGGTCTCGAGCTGCCGCTTGGCGACGGCCTCGAAGTCGGCCCCGCGGTTGATGGCCTCGTGGAACGCCGCGACCTGCTGGAGCAGGCACCCGCTGTCGCCGACGGCCGTCGGCTCGGGCGCGGCGACGATGGCGAGCTCGTCCATGAAGCGCTGCAGGTCCGCGAGCACGGGCAGCTGGTCCAGCAGCACGTCGTTGATGAAGCGCCGCGCGCGGAGGAGCGTCTGCTTGCGGTACGCGTCGAAGCCGTAGCGCTTGCGCACCTCCGGGTGGAGCGTGAGGTGGTAGAGCGCGAGCCACGCCTGGGCCTCGAGCTTCGTCACGTCGAGGAGCCGGTCCGTGGGCACGTCTTTCCAGTCGCCCTCCTGGAGCTTCTGCCAGACGCGCTTCTTTTTCGGTTCGTCCGAGTCGTCGTCCGCGTCGACGCGCTCGTAGCGCGCGCGCGTCCAGGGCGGGTGCTCGAGCAGGGGCACGATGGACAGCAGGAAGTCGTGCGTCTCCAGCAGGCGCGACATGCCCGCGACGGTCAACTCGCCGAGGTGCTCGACGACCATGCGCACGAGCGCGACGCAGGACACGGACGCGCTGAACTCGATCTCCAGCGACTGCTGGTCGAGCTCCTCCTTGGCGGACCGCTTCTCCAGCGACCGCGCGAAGTCGCCGGGCGACTGCGCCGCGTCCTTGGCGGGCTTCGCGGCGCGGAAGAGCTTCGCCTTGGAGTGGAGCGCCGCGAGGCGCCGCGCGCAGTAGTCCGTGAGGTCGAGGGACGCGTCGCGCACGTTGCCGACGGCGTGCGCGTGGTAGCAGAGGCACTCGAGCAGGTTCACGACCGTCGTCTCGTGGAAGAGCACGAAGTAGCACCGCATGCACTTGGCGCGCGTCGCCTCGCTCTCCCGATCCTCGCTCGCGCCGACGATGTCCGCCTCGAGGTAGGGGTAGACCTTCTCGCGCCACTGCTCGCTCAGGATGAGATCGTAGACGAGGGTCGGGAGCTTGTCGAAGGTGAGGAACGCCTCGAGGACGAACTCGTCGGACTTGTCGCGCGCCGACGCGTGCGCCTGCTGGTTCAGCTTCTCCATGCTCGCGTGCTGCTCCATCCACGCCCGGCTGCCGACGTCCGCGATGTCGAACTGCTTCAGGTTCTCGATGATGCGCTCCGCCTCGCCGACCATGAGCACGTGGCCGCCGACGCCGCCGCTGTCATCCTCGGCGCGCTCGACCTTGAGCCCGCCGAGCCGCTCGGGCACGGCCCAGTCCGATTTCGGGCGCTCGCCGGGCTTGGCCATCGCGAGTGTGAAGGTGCTCCGACGCGTGCGGCGCTGCGAGACGCGTTTCAATGCGTTGGGGCGCGCAGCCGCTCGCGTTTTGGGAGCTGCATGCCTGAGGCAATTTTAACTGCTCGCCAAACCTCTCAGAGACTTGCCACTGAGAGCCAGCCACCCATTGCCGAGGAGATCTGGGCGCGGCGCTCTTCGCGGACGAGCGCTCCAGCGGTCCGGGGCGGGCTAGGCCGGGAGACCCGACCGGGACGCGCGTGCTGCCCGGCGTCTTTTCCGCGCGCCCGCGTGCGTGCGTGTTTCGAAACCTGGGAAGGCAGCCATCTACATTACCCGTCGCGGCTGGCTGCCTGTTCGCGGCGCGCGCCCGGGGACCGCGGGGGCGGCGCGCGAGAGGAACGCGGAGCGAACGCGCGCGCCCGCGCGCAGGCGCGACCATGTCGTCGTTCTTCAAGCAGAAGAAGCGCGCGGTGATCACGAACAACCCGGCGACGTTCGAGGCGACGGAGGAGGACGACAAGGCGTTCACGGCGACGCCGAAGACGGAGAAGGAGAAGGCGCTGCTGATCAACGCCCTCAAGGACCACTACGTGTTTAGCGCCCTGTCGACGACGGACATCCTGCAGGTCATCCACCGCATGAAGAAGCACGAGCGGCCGTCGGGCGACGTCGTCATCCAGGAGGGCGACGAGGGCGACACGTTCTACGTGCTCTTCTCGGGCACGGCGGAGATCCTCGTGGGGGCGAAGAAGGTCGGCGAGTACGCCGCGGGCCACTCCTTCGGGGAGCTGGCGCTGCTGTACAGCGCGAAGCGCGCGGCGACGATCCGCGCGACGTCGCCCTGCGTGCTCTGGTCCGTCGACATCAAGACGTTCCACCGCCTCGTGATCCGCACGCAGCAGGGCGCGGCCCAGGGGCGCCTCGCCTTTTTGAAGAAGGTGCCCCTCATGCAGGGCCTGGACACGGCGACGCTCCAAAAGGTCGCGGACGCGCTCCAGTCGGTGTCGTTCCCCGAGGGCCACAAGATCATCACGGAGGGCGAGCAGGGCGACGACTTCTTCATCATCGAGTCCGGCGAGGTCAAGTGCACGCACACCAAGCCTTCCGGGGGCGAGCAGCATCTGTTGACGCTGAAGCGCGGCGACTACTTCGGCGAGATGGCGTTGATGCTCGACGAGCCGCGCCACGCGAACGTCATCGCGACGGCCAAGTGCGCCTGCTTCCGCATTTCCCGCTACGACTTCGTGCGCCTGTTCGGGTCATTGCAGGAGATGCTCCAGCAGCAGATGCGCATCCGCATCCTCAAGTCCGTGCCGCTGCTGTCCCATCTGAGCGACGACGTGCTGGACAAGCTCGCGGACGCGATGCGCATCCAGCTCTTCCGGCCGGGCAAGTACGTCGTCAAGGAGGGCGAGGAGGGTTCGCGCTTCTACATCATCAACGACGGCTCCGCCAAGGTGACGAAGAACGTCGTCGACCCGGCGACGAAGCAGAAGACGGGCGAGACGGAGGTCGGCGTCCTGCGGACGCAGGACTTCTTCGGCGAGCGCGCGCTCATCAACAACGAGCCCCGCGCGGCGAACATCGTCGCCACGGAGCAGCTCGAGTGCCTCGTGTTGGACCGCGTGTCCTTCCAGACCTGGCTCGCGGACGTCGACGCGGTGAAGAAGAAGCAGAAGGAGAAGAAGGCGGCCGTCGCGACGGCGCGGCCCGCGGCGCGGGACCTGCAGCGCCTGCGGACCCTGGGCACGGGCACCTTCGGCCGCGTGTCGCTCGTCGTCCACGCGCCGACGAACAGCGTCTACGCGTTGAAGGCCATGCAGAAGGAGCAGGTCGTCCAGAGCCACCAGGAGCGGAACATCATGAACGAGAAGAATCTGCTGATGCAGTGCGCGCACCCCATGGTTCTGGGCCTCGTCGCGACGTACCAGGACCGGGACCAGATCTACATGCTCATGGAGATCGTCCAGGGCGGCGAGCTCTGGTCCCTCGTCTACGAGAAGGTCGCGGAGACGAAGGCGCTCCGCGTCGGCGGCTTCGGGGGCTTCGGCCAGCCCGCGGCCCAGTTCTTCGGCGGCTGCGTCATCGAGGCCTTCGCGCACATCCACGGCCACGGCATCGCCTACCGCGACCTCAAGCCCGAGAACCTGCTGCTCGACGCCAAGGGCTACGTCAAGGTCATCGACTTCGGGTTCGCGAAGCAGGTGCCCTGGGAGGACAAGAAGGGCTTCCACGACAAGAGCTACACGATCTGCGGCACGCCCGAGTACCTCGCGCCCGAGATCATCCAGTCCAAGGGCCACGACCAGGCCGTGGACTACTGGGCCCTCGGCTGTTTGGTGTACGAGCTCCTCGTCGGCCGAACGCCCTTCGCCGACGACCGCCAGCCCGAGATCTTCCGCAAGATTTTGGCGGCGCCCAAGGCGCTCGACGGCGACCGCCTCTGGCCCCGGGGCTTCCCCGCGGAGGCCAAGGCCCTCGTCCAGGCGCTCCTCAAGTCCGCGCCGGCCTACCGCCTCGGCATGGGCAAGTCCAGCGTCCAGGACATCAAGAACCAGGCCTGGTTCGCGTCCACGAAGTTCGACTGGGCCAAGCTCGCCGCGCTCGGCATCAAGTCGCCCTACGTGCCCCCGATCAAGGACCCCCTCGACACGTCCAACTTCGACCCCTACGACGAGGACACGGGCGTCGCGCGCTACTCGGGCACGCAGCAGGTCTTCGCGCCCTGGTCCGAGATGGGCGCGGACTTCCCGCCGCAGAAGGCCTAGGCGCCCGCGGCGCCGCCGCGCCGCGCGGGGCCGCCCCCTCGAACGCGCCGGGCCCCTTTTTTTTCGACCGCGCGCGCCCCATAAAAACCGCCCCCCACTTCAGGAGCTGCGCTCTTAGTCGTCGCGGCTCGTGCGCCAGAAGGAGAGCACGTGCCAGAAGACCTCGTTCGGGAGCGGCGCCGCGGCGCCGCGCGCGACTTTCGTGTGTGGGCACTCCGGAACAAGGTTTCGCTCGAATGCCGGGGGTCAAAGAGCCGCTC